TCTCTCTCTCTCTCTCTCTCTCTCTCTCTCTCTCTCTTAAATATTTATTTATTTATTTATTTATTTATTTATTTATTTATTTATTTTGAGGGGCATGTGTCACGTGTGCATCTAGAGGTCAGGGGACCACTTGCATGTGTCAGTTCTCTCCTTACACCATGTGGGTCCCAGGGATCAAACTCAGGTCTTTACAAATACCTTTACTTATTGAGCCATCTTGCAATACTTTCATCTCGTGAATTTGTTTTGTGCATATGCCACTGCATGAGTGTGGAGATCAGAGGACAGCTTGTGGGAGTCAGTTCTCTCCTTCAACTATGTGAGTTCCTCTCATAGCTAAAATGAAGTATTTTTTAGCTAGCCCATATAAAAGACACACAACCCAGGCATCTTATTTATAAGCTGCAACCCTAGATTGGGCAGATTTGGAGCTGTTCTAATTTATTTTGAATAAAATATTTCCTGGCCATGTGCTTATGGTCCATGTCCTTTCATGGTGGCCTCCTCTGTTCTGTGTCCTTTCTTCTTCCCTCTCGCTCTCCCTGCAAACCCCAACCAGGTAACTGAAAATCCACCTATTTCTATCTATTGCCCAATCACAGGCTTTGGCTTTTTATTGACCAATTAACTTGGGGAGCAAGGTAACGTAGCATCACTTGGTACATATGAGACTCTCCTCATCCTTGTGGAGGGGAGGGCAACCAGATTATGGGGGCCAGTATTTAGCATTTGAATACAAGAAGCATCAGACCAACCTCCTGCTCTTAGGTGGCCTGTTCTTAGGTGACCCCAGTACCTGACCTTTGGTCCCATCAGTCCTTTTTAGTACCAGAGATTGAACCTGGTGCCTTTTACATGCTAAGGGAGTGTTCCACTACTGAGCTATATCCCACCCACCTTTGTTTGTTTTAAATTTTAATGTTTAAATTTAAAAATTGTGTGTGCATATGCATGCATGCATGCATGCGTATGTGTGTGTACGGAGGCCAGAGGTTGACTTGGTCATCCTGATTACATTCCATTTTACATCTTAAAGGGGTCTCTCACTTGAACCTGGAGCTCACGTACGCAATTAATCTAGCTAGCCAGCTTGCTCAGGAATCCCCTGTCTCTGCCTCCCACATGCTGGGGATACAGGCTGTTGCCACACCTACTGAGCACTTATATGGTTGTTGAGGATTTGAACTCTGGTCTTCATGGTTGTATAACCAGCACTTTTCCTACTCAGTTATCTCCCCAGCCTTTGTTCTGTTTTCTGGATTGATTTTTATTTTGTTTGTTTGATTGTTTTTTGTTTTTTTAAAGATAGGGTCTCATTTAGCCCAGGCTAGCCTTGAACTAGCTTTGCAGCCAAAGATGACCATGAACTTCTAACCCTCAGGTCTTGTAGTTTTTTTATATTACAAGCTTGCAATTCTGCATGTGGCCTCAGCTCCCTTTTTACTTTTTTTTCTTTCAATCAGATTCTTACTGAGTTATCCAAGCTGGCTTGAACTCACTCACTTTGTAGCCCAAGCTAGCTTTGAACTTGCCATCTTCTTGCCTTAGCTTCTTCAGATTTACAGGTTTGTGCTCCCAGACTCAGCCTGGCTTTTATCTTTCACTAGCCCCTCAGATGAAAGTCCCAGCAAGCCTTGATGGAGGGTGTCCTGAGACCCTGATCTTAGCTATGGACACGCGGTTTGTCCCTTTCTCTTGCCCTTCCCTCCTCTTGTTTCTTATACTTCTCTCTTTCCTGGGTGTGTGAGAAATTAAAATAGAAGAGCTGGCATGGTGCAACCCTCTCGGGCATACCAGGGTGCTTGAGAATCTTCTGGGCTTCCTGAATCTGAGGGTGTAACCCAAAGGCAGGGGTCCATGTGCCCCCTGCGTCTACCCACCCCCACTCTTAAGTTCCCTTTTGAGCTTCCCCATTCCGTCTGCCGAGTCCATTGCAGGATCTGGCAGGGTGGTGCCGTGCCCAGTGAATAGAGCCAATTATTCTGGTGAATCTAGGCTTCTGCCTCCCAGCTGCAAAGATGGCTTTGTTTCCCCGAGGCTCCCTGACTCCCTGCATGGAAAGACCATTCCAGCAACCCCCAGCATCAGTCTGTGCTGAGGACTGTAGCATGTACTAGTGCTAGAGGACTGGGTTATCTATCCACTTGACACTCATCATCCCCTCTGCCTTCTGGCAGCATGAAATTCAGGGCACATAGAAACATGGAGCCTCTGGCTGCTGTTGCATATCATCAGGACCCAGGTTACTGGAGAACATGCGCAGTCAGCCAAGTTTGCCTGAACTGATTAAGCCCCTAGGACCTGGGACCCATCTGTCCCAGGCAAGCAGGGGCACAAACCCAGGGTGTTTGCTTTAGGTATGTGGATGTTTTAGGGAAGGGCAGCCAGGTGGCTAGATTTTTCTTTGGAGGTGTCTCCTAACCTTACCTGCTGACCCTGAGGAGCCCTCAAGTTCGTAGCCATGCAGAGGATTAGATTCGTGACGGCGAGGGGCTATTCGTGAGAGTGTTGGGCCTCAGAGATGGTGCTTGAGAAGAGCCAGGGACATGTATAGCTCTGCTGTGTCCCCCTAGTGTTTTTACTATCCTGCTTTTCTTTACCTGCTATTTCCTGGACTGACTGCATTGTGTCCTTCCCTGCTCATCTCTGATGATATATATGCCTAAGAAATCATGGGCAGCCCCATAAATACATTTTCTGTGTAACAGAGAGGCGGTGGTATCTGTCTGAAGTCACTCAGCAGATGAGGTGGACGTGTGCCGAGGTCCTGGTCTCTCTCACCCATCCTTTTGCCTTACAGAGAAAATCTACATCATGAAGGCGGACACAGTGATTGTGGGCTCGGTAAAAACTGAGGTCCCTGAGGGCCGGGCTCCAGCAGGTTCTACAGAGTCTGAGTTGGAAGCTGAATTAGAAGTGGACCATGCCCCCCATTACCCGGAGCAGGAGACAGAACCACCTCTGGGTAGCTGCACTGAGGTCATGTTCTCGGTGGAGGAAGGAGGAAAAGAGGACCATGGGCCCACGACTGTCTCTGAGAAGTGACAGCCAATGTTAGCTGGGGCTAGAGAACAGCTGAGTGCACCCTTGAGTTCAAATTAGCACCTGGGAAGCTACTACAGCTTGAACTGAAGCCCCAGCATCCAAGGTAGCCCAGAATGAAGCCTTCAGCTGCTACCAAGAGGGTTGGCCCCTGGGCCCCAGCAGTGGGCACTACACCATTAGGCTGGTGTCTATTGGGGGAGAAGCAATATGCTGGTTCCAAGCCTCTTTGCTCACACCCCTGTACTCCACCTTCTCTCCTTGGATCTTGAGTGATGGCTTTACTGACGTGCTACCAGCCTCCAGCTGTATAAATGGCTCCCTGGAACAGAACCAATACCTGTTGCTTCTACTTCTGAGGCAGAGGGAAGTTAAAGGATGAATGCTCGTCATCACTGACACAATGATAGCCCATACCCATCACACAGGGAGGGCAAAATGAGACCCTTTTGGCATGGCCTCCCTGTTCTGTGGACTCCCACAGCAGCTGCAGGGACCACCAAGCACTGCTCAAGACTCTGCTTTGCCCAGGGACTTCCTGTCACACAGAGATGGGAGAACTGTGGTCCTGGAGGTCATTAACACTTTGTACTACTATCTGTTCCACCTTGGAAATGAAGAAGCATTGTCCCTAAGCCACCAGGATCAGGCCCAACACCTAGTTCCTGAAGCTCTAGCAGGTTGGAGCCCATCTTTGAAGGCACTCTGCTTGTTCACACTGTTTACCCTGCGCCCACTGAGAGAAGGAAGGCAGTGCTGCTGATGAACATACCTGAAGTTCTGCTTTTAATGTTTTGTTTTCCCTTTTGAGGTACTGAGAATCGAATCCATGGCCTTGTGCATGCCAGCCAAATGTTGCAGGGCTGATCAACCCCAGCCCAGCATTTCATACTAAGCACTAAAGCTGCTATCACTCCCAGCCTGGTTCACTCCCTGACACCTGCATCCTTTTAGAACAAACAAGCAGTCAACCGAATGACACATCTACTCTGTGGCAGCCTGGGGACTCTGGACTTACCCTTGGGCCAGGCAGGGAGAATTCTGTTTACTCACTAGCTGTTTGCTGTCTGGAGGAAGTTGGGACCCTGTCAAGAATCACGAGGGGAGTTTCTGAAACCGCCTGCATCTATGGGGAAAAGTCAAAGCAGCTGAGTACCACCAGAGGCGTTATACCACAGTCTGGATACTGGCCAGAAGGGATGTGTGGGGACTGGATAGTTGCTCATTTGTCTTGTGCAATGACACTGTGGATATGTGGGCATACACAGTGACCCCAAAGCTATGTCATGATAACCACATGGATGCCACACTTTTGGAAGATATTGCTCAACTTTTTCTAAGATAGGATCTTGTTCTGTATCCTAGGATAGATTCAAACTTGATATGTAGCCCAGGCTGACCCTGAGCCTGTAACCCTCCTATCTTAACTTCCTGAGGGATGACAGGCTTGAGCCTCTATGCCAAACTGCCACACATTTCAGCAAAGTGACATATTCCCTTGCAAACTGGCCCTGCACACAATTTTTGACCCTCTAAAAAATCCCTAAAGGCTGGAAAAAAAAGGCTTTGTGAGGCTGAAAACTGATCACAGAGATGAGTAGTAGGAGGCCCTGAGCATGAAGGCTGGCATGGGTCTGGTCTATCCTCCCCCCCGGGCAGGGCCTTTCTCTGTATGAATGGCACTCACAACCAAGGGCAGGAGCCTGTGACAAGCTGTGTATCCTTTCTCTCCTTGTCCATCCGGGCTGTCTCTTCTTCCTTGTTCAAGGCCTGTCCTCCAAGGATGCTGGGAATAAAGGGTCTCTGCTCACAAGGCTGCATTTGGTATTTATAGGATGAATCCTGGGCCTCTCCAGGGCTTTCTTTACACAAGGAGGTTTGGGACATGCAACTTCGGAAAAGAGGAAACTCCATGTAGCTGGAGAAGCTGGGGGTCTGTGGAACCCAGACCTTCTGTGGCCGAGCAGGAGAGGTTCCACCACCCTGCACATAGAGCAGGGCAGAGCTCCAGCTACAGGCAGCCAGCCCACAGTCCCCCCTCTCTGGCACTTGTGGGCTCTATTCCTAGGACTGTAGCCCACTCCTGCACCTCACCTTCAGCCTGACACCGAACCTGCTGCTTGTTGGCCAGGAGCCAGAGCTCTCCTGATGGGGAACTTCCTAGCTCTAGCTATTCTGATATTTAGAATAGTGAAGAATCAGGCCCCTGTTCTCAAGAGGGCAAGCCTTGTGTGGTGAGGGACTCTGGCCCCATCACTTCCTGAACAGTTATCTGCAGTTGTTGTCTAGTTCTTTCATGCCGTTGCTTTCCGAGGCAGTTAGTTGGGTAGAATCTCCAGGACCTGGCACCGATCTCTTCGATGGGACAAGAGGGGTGTCACCCAAGTTGCCCCCCTCCCTCTTAACTTCCTTCCCAACAGTGAGTCTTCAAGGACTGTGTCTTGGCCATCTTTATTTGGGCAGTGTTGCACTGAGCTGAGTATACATGAGAGTGTACGAGGATAAGGAAAGTCCCCAGCTGTAGCCCTCTATACATCTCCTCTTACACCTGGGGAACTGGTGCTCAGAATCAGGTTCAAATCCCAGTTCTCCCAGAGATCAACTAGGGAGCTTGCCTGAGAAAGTGAAGGTCGCCATCATCTGTTGCTATGACACAACGCTTGAGATTGGGAACTTTATTAAGAAAGGTTATTCTGGCTCATGGTTCTGGCAGATAGGACATCCACAAATGAGCAACCTCATCTAAAGAAGCTCATTGACTCACTGTGCTTGGAAAAACGGGGCAAGTAGGTAAAACATGAGATCAAACTGTTCTCACAGAAACTTTCAGTCCTCAGACCACGTGGACTCATTCCTGAGGGGCCCATGGAGTTTTGGGGACTACAAGCACCCTTAGTGACCAACCCTCCTGTGGTCCTCACCTCCTACTAGTGCTATAATGTCAGAGCTCAGCATGACCTTCAAGGAGCCTTACCATACTCACCTCAGGACTCTATTTTGTCATCTGTGAAATGGGTATTGGTCTCAACTTGAAAAGGCTGTGGGCTTCCCAGAGATGCCACTCATGATTAGTAACTTTGGTTTTTCCATCCCAGTGGTCACTTGTCCAGAGTGACCCTTTCCACTTGCATATAAGAGGGTCCCCTCACAGAGGTCACAAGATAGTACACATAGGCTTCAGAAAAAAACAATTCTCAGTGATGGTTGGTTCTAAGGCTATTCCTCCAAAACCTACTTTTAGACTAGCCTGATACTTGGCTTCTCTTGCAGCCCCCACAATGGACAGATTGCTTCTTGCTAACTGAGGTGCCCTGGAAACTTTTCAGTTCAGTTAGAGGTGTTAGACATCTAAAACTCCAGGTATTTATTTGAGGTTCCTCCTGGCTCTAGTGTCTTCCAGAACACACTACATTCTGTTCAAGATCTTTTCTTCATAGTGGCCCTTTTCCAAAACCACACACTCTGAGGCAAGCCCAGCTAGCAAAGAATTCCTGCCACACAGCTTTCCTCCCAGGGATCCTTTGTCCCGCAGGTGTGACAGTGGCTCAGGATCCAGTCCATGATCCAGTCCATTACACATGCTAGTAAGTCAGAGATAGGCGCATCTCTGTGAGTTCTAGTCTAGCCTGGTCTACATAGTCAGATATTCAGTTCCTGGGTAGTCAGGGCTACATATAGACACTGTCTCAAGCCCAGTCTGTGAAATAGGCTTAGTTGGGCCCCAGGACAGAGTGTCTGCAATAAAGAGGTTGGGGACAGGTTCCCTGCAGTGAAATAAGTAAGGCTCAGAAGGCAAGAATAGGCAGTGCAAAGTCCATGAGGTGAGGAAGCCCCTGGATTTGAGATTCGGGAAGAATGCAGCCATACAGGAAGCCCAGTGTGTGGGGAGAAGCTTGGGCAGGGAGGCCTGTGGAGCCATTACAGAGCCTTTAGGGTGTATCAAAAGAACACTGTTCCATGCTTAGTTTTATGGTCTTGTAAGTACAATAAACATTTCAGAGTGACAAAAGCCAAACCACAGGAGCATCAAAAGTCCCAGGAGCAGATTTCAGAGGGAACTTAGGGAGGCTGGAACAGGAAGCAGCTGAGCAGGCAGCCAGACAACATTCCCGGGTGCTGCTGGGGAGCTACAAGAGGAGGGATCAGGGAGGTCATGGTTCCTCTTTCTTCTGGGGTCTTCCAAGCCTGGATGGAGAAGTCCGGGGAAGGTTTGGAGACCTCTGGGCATTGGTTCTCCTATCGCCTGAACTCCACAGGACTTACCAGTAGCCCTGGCAAAACATGGAGACACTTTGTCATGGAAGAGAGTAGAAGTTATAGCTATGGGCAAGACACACCTCCAGGGTTCAGTTTGAGCTCAGCCAGTTCCCACACAGTTTCACACTTTTGCAACTTGTTTCCTAACTGAAAGAATGGACTGAATTCTCACCTGACAAGAGGCTGGGTGGTGATGGGGATAACGGGTCTAGCTAGCCCAGCTAGCAGTTTTCATGGTCACTATTAGCTGCCTCTTAAGAGTGTTTGACATCCCCAAACCCTTCTTCAGTCTGAGTCTGTGCTGCTAGGACCATTCCTCAAAGCTTAGCAGAGCTCTGGGTGAAAGTTCACTCTCCCACACTGTAGTGTTTAAGAATTGGGGTCTGTCCTCTCAACTCTGATCCAGTTCCCTCCCTGGATCCAGGCGGCCTGTCTGTCTCCCTGGTGAGAAGTAAGGTTGATTCTATGGATGTTATAAGCTGTATTGAGGCAAGGTTTATCTGGGAGTCACCACCTCTATGTGATGTGAACAGGCTCCATTACACACTCCCTGCCTTGGTGAACTGGACCCTGAGAGACCAGGAGCCAAACTCCATCTTTCCTTCTTTGTGTTGTTTCAGTTAGATTGTGATCACAGTGACGTGGGAATTAAGAAGGAGGTGGGTTTGAGGTATGTGTGTTGCACATAAAGATGGGAGGTGCCCTGTCACTTTTCTATCTGTATCTTTTTTTACCCCCTTGAGACAGGACTCTCACTGAATCTCGAACTAAGCTGGCAACTAGCAAGCCCCAGTCTCCACCCTTCATAGATCTAGGTTATAGGTATATGTAGCCATATCCTGCTTTTTACATGGGAGCTAGAGATTTGAATCCAGCCCAGTCTTTATGTTTGTTTATTAACTATTCTGTCTTAGTTAAGGTTTCTATTGCTGTTATGAAACTCCATGACCAAAAAGCAAGTTGGGAGGAAAGCATTTATTTGCTACACACTTCCACATTATAATCCGTCATTGAAGGAAGCTAGGGCAGAAACTCAAACAGAGCAGGAACTCAAACAGGGCAGGAACTTGGAGGCAGGAGCCGACACAGAGGCCATGGATGAGTGCTGCTTACTGGTTTGTTCCTCATGAATTGCTCAACCCGTTTCCTTCTAGAACCCAGGACCACTAGCCCAAAGATGGCATCACCCACAAAGGGCTGGCCCTCTCCCGTCAACTACTAATTAAGAAAAATACCCTACTTGCTTGACTACAGCCTGATCATGTGGAGGCATTTTCTAATTGAGGTTTCCTCCTCTCTGATGACTTTAGCTTGTGTCAAGTTGACATAAAACTAACTGTCCACCACATATTCTTACACACTTAGCCATCACCACATGTTTTGTGAATGCTAGACAGGGATTTTACCAAAAGAGCCACACTTCCAGACCCTTCTGTGATATTCTGTCCCCTCTGATTATAGGGATGCCTTGGATCTTATAAATCCAGAGAGACTAAAGGTGCTTGCTTCCAATCCTGGTACTTTGAATTCAATACCTAGGACCCATATAGTAGAAGAGAACTAATTCCTCTTACACCCCCACAACTCCCCCAAAACCATTTAAAATAAATAAACGTAAACGCATTTATAATTCTTACCAGCTCCTTTATTTTTTAGATAAGGTTGTATAATGCTGCCTAGGTTAGTCTTGAATTCCCAGACTCAAGTGTCAATGTTGGAATCACAAGTTCTGTGGTCTTCAAGCATGTATCGTGTTTACTCTATCACTAGTAAGTAGATTCAGAGCCTGGATTCCATCCTGTGTATCAGGCCTATTCATGTAACACTTTCCTTTAACCACCGTAAGGCTTTTGTGTGTATGGTGTGTGTGTGTGTGTGTGTGTGTGTGTGTGTGTGTGTGTGTGTGTGTGTGT